CTGCCTCCCCTCTGCCACCTCCATCTCGAGCGTTGAGAAGCGAGTTGGCATTGTTCGTCACAGCGCTGGCAACGGCAGCACAGCACAGCTCGTGTTCGATGCTCGAGGTATATTCGGGGTGCGGACGGTCCACGGCAGCCTCGAGCTGCGTTCGATTGGGCGACCGATGGATAGCGCACGACGGGGCGGGAACGCGTCGCAACACGACACGCCCCTCCACAATGTGCTCGACAGACAAACACCCCGACAGGCAGTAAGCCAGACTGCAGGCAATTCAGCGTCCGCCCTACACAGCCTCTTACATGACAACCACAGGCACCTTCCTCAACGCGTCGCCAACAGCAAACGGCATCAATGAAAGATCAATGGACCAGCAAAAATTGCCCCAGTCAGGCCCCCGAAGGAGACTGAAGTCATTCCCAGCTCCGCGCTGTGCAATGCAGGCGAGAATGACTGGTTCCTCAATGCTTGAGCTGAGGGAACCCCAAGAAGGTAAGTATGCAAAATCAGAGAGGAGGCAGAGGGGACGCGACCTTATATACCCGACTGGTGTGCCAAGCCCTGGACGATCACGTGAGAGGGCACGGACAATGGCTGCCTTGCACGACTCAAAGGGTTTAGCGTCGTCTGTGGGTGCGGGAACCTCGGCTAGAGAGCAGTCCACGTTCACATCTTCACCCATGCCGTGTCATGCAAACATTCCAGGCAATGCACATTAGACCAACAGCCACCGACGTCAGTACTCCAACAAACGTCAGCTGATGGTAGTATGCTATGTCAACACCAGCAGCCGAGGTTGTTACAGCAGTCAGATTACTCACCAATCAGCACGACCAAGCTTATACACCCACTTCAACACCAACATGCAATGTGCTGACCGTCAGCACACATACTGTAGAGATGTGCCTCTCGTTCTGACAGTAACAATATGGAATACCACTCGATCTGTTGACTACCAACGACAATCAAAGCCCTGCAGATAGGAGCCTCAGAGCACAGCTTCCTTGTGCGAGAAACTAATCTCATCTTCCTCGCACGCCAAACAGTAGACAAGTCGATACTAGAGCGCAAGGATCTTATAACAACACCAACATCCTTGCCGTTGATCCGCAGCTGCGCATCCACTGAACCCCCTTGATGATCACCAAAATGGCGACTTACGAGACCGCCGAAGACAAATACATCACCATCAACTCGATCAAATTTGCCTACCGCCGCTTCGGCACGCGCACCGGCGTCCCCCTCTTCCTCCATATGCATTTTCGCGGCACAATGGACCATTGGGACCCCACCTTCATCAACCCGCTCGCAGCAACCCGGCCCATCCTTCTCCTCGATAACGCGGGCGTCGGCCGCTCAGACGGCTCAATCCCCACAACCTTCGTCGGCTGGGCGCAAGTCGTCCTCGACTTCTTCGCCGCGCTCAACCTCTCGCAGGTCGACGTCCTGGGCTTCAGCATGGGCGGCTGCGCCGCGCAGATGATTGCGCTGAACGCGCCAAAGGGACTGGTGCGGCGGCTGATACTCGCGGGCACGATGCCGAGCACGGGCGAGGGCACGGTGGTGGCGGCGGATCTGGGCCCGTTTTTGATGATCAGGGATGCGGTGAGCAGGGAGGAACAGAAGGCGGGGTTCCTGGAGAGCTTCTTTGCGCCGAGTGAGAGGAGCCAGGCTGCTGGGGACGCGGCGTTCGAGCGCATATATGCTGCACGACCGAAGCGGGCTGACTATGTGGCTGTGGAGGACGCGAAGAGGCAGGGGTTGGCGTTTGTGAATTTTCAACATCCAGCCAAGGCAGATGAAGGGTCGTATAATCGGCTGGAGGAGTTGAAAATGCCGGTGCTGATTGCGAATGGTGAGTGTCTTCTCAGGGAAGAGTTCGAAAAGTGCTAACCACGATGTTAGGTCACGACGATCTGTTAATGCCAACAAAAAACAGCATCGTAATGTATCGCCAGCTGGAGAATGCAAATGCGCAGCTGCATCTGTATCCTGACTCTGGCCACGGGTTCTTGTATCAGTATGCGGCGCACTTCTCGAAGCTTGTCAACGATTTCTTGGATGATGCGAGCTTGACGCCGGTGACCAGTCACCTCTGAGTGTGGCAGGCCTAGTACGATCAAACAGGCAAAGTAATGATTTCACAGCTATGTTCAGAAAGTATACCTCATAATAACTCATTCCATACATGCTCCCTTTTGGTCTACTACGAATGATCATGGTCTCATGTTCCTCTCTAGCATCTCTTACCCTTGCAGACGTTGCGTTTTGGCCTGGAAGGTCTGGTCTTCCTGTTTTTAGTCGGCTTTGCTGGCTTGTGTCTGGATCGGTCTAGCCGGCTTCTTCGTTCTTACTGGCTTCAGCGCCTTTCTCGTCTTCGTCTTTGTAGGCTTGTCAGGCTTAGAAGTCTTGGTCGGCCTCGTTGGCTTATGTGTCTTCGTCGGCTTGTTTGGAGGAAAAAGCATAAAAGTAAAACTGCGAATACGGCCACGCCGAAACGAGAGAACGAAGGAGAGCTTGCTAGTAGGAGACAACATCATTAGTTCCGACGATCACTCGCCTTTGGTACGAATCGACGGAGCTCATCTACACAGTCGCGGTAAGTTCACTGTTCCTGTCGGTGTCGCACATGTCTCAAGATCTCATCAGTATCATCCGGGGCGTTGCGTCACAATTCCAGAGTGTATGTATGTCATACGGACTACCTAGATAAGGACTTGTATGATCGTGAGAGACGAATACCCCAGGGCCCTCTCGAAGCAGTCGAAACAAAACATGCTACATAGCGCGAAACGTGTTGAGATAGAGACGGATGTCGGAGATGATGTTCGGTGTAAGGCTTGCAGGCCATTAGTTCTGATTGGGTGTACCAGCACGATGCCACAAGTAAGCAAATGCCCCGTCCGCGCGATACGTCGTTATTTCCTTCAACCTCGCCCTCCATAATCTCAGCTTGAAGCAAAATGTGAAACATTTCGGAACTCGTAACCACGGACTCATGAGCTTATTCACGGTATCGACGGGGCAACATACTCCGTTAAGCGAAGATGAACGCTCGTAAGCTAAGCCACCCCCAGTCGCAAGGCTTACCTGCACACGCCATCAAACCTCGCCCCCTCACCCACAATTGCGCCCCTGGTGTCATCTAAGATTCCATTTGGCAGCCTCGCGTGAATCATAGGCGGTGCAGAAGTATTCACAGACACAGTCTCCATCTATACCATCGAACAAACCTTCCACCATGACAGACGTGCACAAGAAGATCCTCGCTGCCTGTTCCAGTGGCAACATTTACACCCTAAAATCACTGTTCCAAGAATTTCAGATCGGCCCCGACCACCCACAGAGTGTCTACAGTCTCGATCAGAATCTCCCGGAAGGAGAACAACTACCTGTTGGTGAGCACATGTTCGTGGCTGCCATCGAAGGTGAACAAGCTGGAGTCATAGCGTTTCTTTCCGACCATTTCTCACAGGCCAGTCTCTATGGATACCCTATGCAGGCGGCGATCGACACGGGCAACACTACAGTGCTAAGAGCGGTCTGCAAATGCGATCCAGCGTCTGCTAGTGCTGAACTCGGCGACGACTCAAGCATCAATGCACTTGGGTACGCGGCTTCCAAGAAGAACGGTGCGGAGTTGGTGAAAGTGCTACTGGACGGTGGCGCAGACCCGAATACAATCCCACCACTCAGGCTACCGGCGAGTTGGAATGTATCTGCTGCAATTCTTGCGGGCCTGCCGGTGTCGACATTCGAGCAGTTCTTCGACGCTGGGTATGAAGGCAATGATCCCTGGGCCGTGACATTTGCGGTGGAGAAGAAACGCGCCGACATCCTTGAGGTTTTGTTCGCGAGAGGCAAGGAGTTCGCGGATGCCCAGTTCCCGTCAGAGAAAGAGATGATTGCAATCGCAAACAAGGATAACGACGTAAGCATGATAGCAGCTATCAAGCGTGCTTATGCGATGCTTTCCAAGCGAAAACCCGACAGGAAAGCTGGATTGTTTGCATCCTTTATGGGCAGGATGCGGTCGCGGTCGCGGAGTTAGAAGATTCTACAAGCCAAGTAGGACCAAAAACAGCCGCAGGAAAATCTTTCTCATTGCCTGAGACATTATCAGACGAGCCTCGAAACCCGTCAGTTCATGCATCGATGCCACATCTCACCACTGTCACGTCTGCATCCTCCATCAACATACTCGAAGCTTAAAGGTGTCTACACCCGATTCGGTAACACTGGAAGCCTTTCTAAGGGACCGCAAAGACGAGAATAAGCGGAAATAGCATGATTCTGGGACCTAATGACAAGAATAGGCGGGAAATGTTTCTCGGGGCCCAATGACAAGATTATCGGAGGGGCCACCGCCATCGATGCGGACAAGATGGTCCCGTATCGCGGGGAAACACCATTGCCAACAGCCCCTCGCTTCAGCAACTATGTCTTGAATGCGTGAAATCCAAGGTAGCTTGTCATACCCAGCATCGCCACGTGAGTCGCATAACCGAGAAGAATATCCGAAGTTATGACCCAGCGCCGTTCTCCTATAGCAAATCAAAGTCTTCTCGTGGTTTCAAAGTACAGTCCTGCTTCCGTTAACCTTTATAGAGCTATGGCTTTTGACTGCATCATAATGTATAGCCACTTGCAACCCCATTCCGCCTACCACTAAACACAGGTTCTGAGATACTCCTCCACGAAGCGGACACGTAGGCAAGTGTTTAGAGAGAACGTCTATCTACGCCGCCATATATATGCGGAGGTGTCATCAGGGCCCCGAGACGCTGAAGCAAAGCCGCGACTCTATCGCTCCTCACTCATCCTCAAGCCCCTACCCCATCACGCATAAGTTCAGGCTCAGATACACAATCTTATTAGTCAGGCCCTCACGCACCGACATATCTGATCTGTGCATCGCTATCCCCCCTCTACGGAAAACGCCCCATATTTCCAAGGTATGTAAGTGGCGAAAATGACGACGAGGTATTCCAACCATCAAAGCGGGAGTTGTCTAGTGGTTATGATATCTGCTTTACATTTGTGTATTGCGCAGAAGGTCCCCGGTTCGATCCCGGGCTTCCGTAGCATTTTGCGTAGGTTTCCCTTTGTGTGTAGGTAATGAGGAAAAGAGAAACGAAGCGAATTTTGTGGTGCTTTCCATGGGGTGCGTTGTCTCTACAGCTGCGGTAAAGATGTAAAACGTGCAATGAGGTTATGGCTGCGTGTTGGTTGTGTTGTTCTAGTAGGTAATTAGTCGGCACCAATTTTATCTTGAAGGTGTCGGCAGGTACTTAAAGTCCAATTCAAGTAGTTATCCGGGAACATAGTGCTCGTGATGAAGCTTATAACGAGATTGCAAAGTCATGGTGTTGGTCGAAATTCTCATCGGGGTTTTGTTTTGATGCCCTTAATTTAAGCTACCTTGTCATCCTACACTGGCTTCGCTTTTGTACTACATCACGCCCGGCAGGGAATATACTTCGTTGGAACTTCCTTTGATCTGCCCTTGCGACCTCGAGAGACATATATTGAGATGGTCCATTGGGTAGAAATTCCTATTGAGCGACGGGGGAAAAATCTTGAGTCGTTAGGGACGATGTCACTGTTCGGAGTAGTGGATGGTGGTGGCAGTCCAACTATCAGAGGAAGAACATTTTCAACACCGGTAAGTAATCTAATCTGGTTAGGCTGGCGAGAAGGACTCGGTGAAACCACCAGGACAATGCTAATGTTATCTCTAACATACACGCAGAGTAAGGCATGGTAGCTCAGCTGTTGCAGTCGAAGCGGAGATTTTGGTAAACGTGCAGCTTGGATCGGTTGGGGAAGGTCGATGTATTACATTAGGCGACTTCCGTCTTCGGCTGTGAGTAACACATGATGATTTGCACAGCAGTGAACTTCGTCGTGCATGCTTACCCTGCATTAGCTCCGCGTCCTTCCCTCATCACATGATCTGAAAATCGGTGAGTAGTGGTAACCTGTACATCCCTCTAACAGCAACGGCTCTGTGCCCTCGGTCAATTTGGACCCATGTCGGCAAGGGTGCTGGCTTCGGCATGGCGGCAAGATATAGTATCTCCCCCGACCGTTCCTCAGCTGAGACGGCCCGAAGCCACGGCCCCTAATTGCCGACTCGCATCGGACGCCACCTGGTCGATTTTCAGCCTCTGGTTCCACGTGTGTCTGCGAAACATAGGCGGCCCGCAGGTGGCTGGTTACTTGTGCGGCTCGTTGGTTACCGGGGATTCGGATGACCAAGATTTCTATTCACGCAGCACCTGGACTGAAGCGTGAAATCGGAGTGCAAGATTTTGAAGTTGTTATATGCCTTGGTTTCCGAAACTCTCGGTATGTGCAGTGCTAATGTACTTTTTGATGAGAGGAGCATCTCATGGAAATGACACTTCTGTGCAATCCTCGTGGATTTCGTAGTTAGTGACCCCAATTTGGCTGATGGAGTCATATGGCATGTCAAGGGAAGTAGAGACACGTGCAGTTATATAGTGATTGTTCGTTTATTGGCACCATGCTGATTTGGGGAGAAGTGCACTCTGTTGTCGGCCGCCCAAATTGACAAAAGCTTGGGGATACCAGGCCTGCGTAGGTACCCGATACATGTTGAATCATTTTGTGACCCGTTCTTCTTTCGCTGATCTCCAGTGAGAAACAGACCCAATGCCTGGTCCGTAGTGTACTGCTGGGGCTTTCAGGTCGCCGAACCAGATGTATGACGCATCGTCGTCTAGGAATAATAGGGTGTGCTAATTTCGTGTTCTTTCCATGCACGTTGGGTTTATTGAACCAATCCAGTCGTTTCTCCTACCTATTCAAACTGCCAAATACCAGTTTTGCATCGTTCGCTCGTCAAGAGAAGCAGATGATGCTGCGCCGTCGTTTTGTTAACCGATGAGAATCTGGGTCTTCGCTCCGCACAGCCAAAGACGGCCAGGATTATCTGGAGGGTGGTAGCCCAGGTCATTGCCAAAAAGCATTGGGAATGCTGCTTGTCGACGCACTCAACACTGTGTTACCACACCTGAACCTCTCACCCCACATTGACGCAACAACCTGTCCGGTCTCCTGTCCATGACAGGCAATTTGTGGGCGCTGCGCCTCCGGCTTTGGTTGAGATTCTTCGGCCATTATAGCCAGGAATGATATTGCTCTTTGCACCATAATAATGATTGCCCAGTGCAAGGAGTAGTATGGTGGGGTTAGCTATGTGGCCTGGGCGAACAGTTTCACAGCCTCAAAAAGGTCGTATGGAGGAGCAAGCCAAGTAACATCCTGGTGCACAATGCAAGCTGCAAAGTGGTCGTGATTGTGGTTCCCGCGCAATCAGGGTACAGGTCCGCACTGACGTGCCGCTTTGAGTTAGAGGTGACTAGGGCCCTGCATCCTCCATTTCCAAGAACCCAGTCTCTGCGAATTCGGACGTTTGCATTGAATCATCTCTCCGCGGTGAGAAGTGAACACTGCAGTCGTCTAGGCCCAATCGACAGAATGCGATAACGTCCTCGACAAGCCTCCCTGCAGCAGAAGCGTCCTTCCTAATGCGTCGATGTGCTTTCCAGAACTTTGTGCTTGCATTGCGCCGAAGGTTGCGGCCTTCATGCGAGGGGTTCCATCTCTGAGAGATATGTTTGCCGCCTGATGCGCGAGAGCAGTGCAGTAACAAAATGGTCGATGTGGAAAATAGACCGCTGCCACGACCTCTTGCAGCCAAGGACACTCATGCTGTGCCAACATGATCGCTCTTCATACGTAGCTACGTGCCTAATCGTGACTTAAACACCACTGTTGGATGCAGAAATAACTGGACGAAAATCTCCACTGTGTGCACGTACAGTTTATGTTGACGTGATGATATATCGGAACCCTCTCGACGTATCAAAATGTTTACTTCCACGATTACATGCGACGTCTCGTCAAAGTCTGTTGGCCTCGTCTTCCACGCGGGTAAATGAAGGTGTGGAGAAAGGAACCCCTGGGGCGCTAAGTGCTTGACTAATGGGCGTCCGTATGACCTGCAGCTCGTAACGCAGCACGATCGGTCTTCCCATGTGGCTGCATGATCTGTTTAGTGGGGTGTCCCAACAACTTTGACGTGTGGGATAGTCGCTCTTGTAGTACTGTAAGTAACGGTATAGCTTGCGCGGAGACCTGACTCACTTTGATGACTGTCAATAACGGAACACCTGTAACATCCAGCAACCCTGATACTAATACCACAACCTGATGAGGAAAGGCGATGTAAGGTGAGTTATACCGAGCTGTCTAAGATACATCGTCATCGATGGTACAAGCTCCGTGATTGCGACGAAGCTTCCATGACGAGTCGACTACGCTGAACCATGCCCCTGATAGGATCGTGATGATGGGTGTCAAAGGAGTTTCGAATAGTTCAAGCCACAATTTTTGTCTGTGATAAGCATACACGCATTGGCTTTTGAGTTGCGGTTGCTCTTGGGTGTGCAATGTAACCATCCCCAACTCCAAAGTACTGTACCTCGGCCCACATTCACATCCCCGGACGCTCGAAAATCTGACTTCTGCATGGATGTCGCTCCCAGGCTGAGTATTGAGTCCGAGTGAAGAAGGGAAGGGATGTACTGTTAACCCGCAGGTAGACATGTGCTGCTTTCTGCTTCCAATTTCGATCGATTGTCAACTGCACAAAGCGTGCCCCGCAGGTTCCAGTCATTGATGCGCGCCATCGGACGATCTTCTGAGCTAACTGTGCATACAAGTCTTCGAATGGAGACATCATGTCGTTTCTCAATTCTTGCAGTGCTTAGTGTGCTCGTATCGCCCTATTCTGCGCGATCATGACTATGGGCAGGCTTCTCAGGAGCTGTGACTTCAAATGCAGTGTGACACCAGGGTAGATGCTGACCGCATGTAGTACGAGGTCAGTTCGTGGGGCCTGCAAAGTGCAGGAAGTGGAAATCAATAGAATGGCTACCTCCGACTGACGAGGGCACAAAAATGTGCTGTAGTCTCACCGATCGGTTTGCGAGACGTAGTCACCGTAACCAACAGGGAGCAAGGCTTCGGAGCGCGAAGGGGGCTATGTTCGTTTCGATATCGGCCGCCCGTGCCTGCAGGCTGCTCGGAGCGCATTGGCGGCTGGTCGTGCGGCTTTGGGTAAAGGCGCTCCTTCGAAGAGCCACGAACCGCGCTTCTCGAGATGCTTTTGGCGAGTAGACGAGTCCAGAGTCCAGACGCCGACCAGGTTCTCAAAGCGGTGCCGCACAATGCATGTCGGGGATGTCGTCACCGCCCAGTAGCTGGATGTGGGGAAGACGGCTCTTTCGCAGGCCGCCACGAAGCCACACACCCTCGATGTCTAGCGGACCCGAATTGAGGGAACGAGGTCCGGGGGTGCCCTGATTCGCACCCCCTGGCCCCGGACAAGACGTGCAGGCCGTGAGTGTGCCGTTCGATGGGCGTAGCCGCGTAAACTTTGGATCCTTCGGTGTCGACGAGATTGAACGAGGCGCCCGAGGTTGTAGAGGCTCCCGCGTTACTTGACTAATGCTGTTTCAGGGATACGTGTCATTGTGTCTGGTACGCTAAGCCCTGGCGTGCTCGTCTCTGCTTGCGCCGAAGACGACGACCTCACCCGTACCCGCAACCCGCACCACCATCTCCATCGCCATCTTTCTTCTCCATGTAGTCCATCTAGTCCATCTGCTGCTAGCTGCGCGACCGCCGTCAAAGCTTCATCGGTCCCTGCCGTCTCCTGTCTTTGCCAGCGGCTGCCGCGGCTGCGGGTGGGGGGTGACTTGGATTTTTGGCACCACCCACAATAGAAGGAGCTCCCTGCATCCAAGGTTGGAAAGCTGCAATAATCTCGCAACTGTTGACAAGTCTCGCTAGACACAGAGCGCAAGAGAACCGCCACTAAGGACAAGGCTGCAGACAAGAAGATACTCTGCTAAGTGCAGCATCTTGGAGCATCGAACCACTCCTTCGTTATGGCGTTCGCTCAAGCCGACGGCCATCCACGAACATACCCCAAGGAAAACAACAAACTATAACAATAGCCGTCGGGCATCGCGTGCGACAATACGGTGCA